CTCTCTCTCTCTCTCTCTCTCTCTCTCTCTCTCTCTCTCTCTCTCTCTCTCTCTCTCTCTCTCTCTCTCTCCCTCTTCTACTATATCCCAAATCATCACTTACCTTACACACACAGCTTCACACAAGTACAGCACAACAAAGTCCTCAGTCAGTCAGTCAATCAGTCCCCCACTTCCCTTCACAAGCAATCAAACAAAATCCGGGACGTCGTTGAATAGCCCGCACTACTAGCTTCCAGTATTATAGAAAATGATCAACCGAGATTGCCTTCGTGGAGAGACTGTATATTTGAGGTGGCACAAAAAGAGGGCATTAAGAAGTACAGACGAAGAGATCTGAGATTTGTGGACGCTACGGAAGGGGATTGGATGGTGATATTGCTAAGAAGGATGTACGGATTTGGTGATTGATGACTGATGAGGATGGTGAAGATGAAGAAGAAGAAGACGCTGCTGGGAGGGAGAGGTTCCTGTTTGATATTGCTTGTTGCCTGGAGGAAAAATAGCTATGTGATGAAGGTAGGCTCGTTTATGTTTACGAGCAAGAAGAGAGATATCTATTAGACTTTCTCTGGTGCGACGCGAGCTTCCATTTACTGTAACATAAACAAGTAGACTACTACTAACCGACAGAATAACAGGAGACATGGTAATTCTCCTGTGTGAAGGCAAAGTCGCAAACGCTTCTCGAAGGGTGGGTCAACTTTCTTTCATCCGCCGCCTCGCTTACCAATGTGTATTTAACACGCTGCACAATAGGTATTAGGTACTATATATGAGGCATTGGTGAAGCACAACGCATTTGGTGGGCTAGTGGCAATTATTGTTAATAACTAGTCAGTCTAGTCTAACTCTCAAACACCATCATACGGTATAGGCGAAATGGTATGTTCAGTACAGTATATCCGCCGTGGCTAAACCAAACAAGGATCTACGCTGGAGAATATATACTACGTACAACGCATACATACACCTCTCTCTCACACCGAAGAAGATTATTACCTTACCTAGGTATTGTTATTCTCAAGCACACTCTTTTACAAACATTGCGAGTGAATCGTCATTCAGCAACTACAACCTCAATCATCATCAAGATGCTACTCCCTTCTCCCCCCAAAACACTTGCAGCAGCAATATTACTATCCCTCGCAAGCCACACATCCGCCACCCTCCTCTGGGACGGGCGTCTAAACAACTACACATCCGCCTCCTTCCTCTCCAACTGGTCCTGGTCCAACCCCATCGGCCCCTACCAATACTACATCCACGGCTCCGGCTCCGTCTCCGACTACATTTCCCTCTCACCGACCTACAAAAACCCTCACGACACCAACTCCCTGCGCGGCATCCAACTCAGTATCGACAACACATCCAGTTGGAATGGACAATACATGATGCGGACAGAATTAATTCCGTTTTCGACAACAGCCAAAATCAACGAGTCGAAAGTTTTTTATCATTTTTCGCTTTCGCATACAAATGTGAATCCTCCTTCGATAACGGAAGAACATCAGATTTGTTTTTTTGAATCGCATTTTATGGAGTTGAAATATGGTCCGATTGCTCTTTCTTCTTCTTCCTCAACCAACACCACAACAACCCCAGCACCCAAAACCTCCTCCCTCCTCCACTTCCTAACCTCCAGCACAACCTCCCACTGGAACACCACGCTCCTCCCCGGAATATGGCACAACATCGCCTACGGTATAGATTTCAACTCTCGCACCGTCTCCTTTTACCATTCCGTGGGAGGAGAAGATTTGAAATTGATCGTGGATGCGATTCCCGCTGAGACGTACTCGGATGGGAAAGATTGGCATTTGGGAGTTTTGAGATTGCCCGAGGGAGGCGGTCCTGAGGGGAAGAGGAGTGGAGTTAGAGAGGATTGGAGATTTTCGGGTGTGTGGATTGAAGAGGGGGAGATTACGACGAGGATTGGAGGGGGTGTTGGTGGTTCTTCTTTGGGGAATTCGTCGTGCGTGGAGTAGAATTTTTCTTTTTTGTTTGGTTGTTGATGTTGTGGAGTGGCGAGAGGAAGGGAGGGATGGAAGTTGGAGGGGGAGGAATAATCAAAGAAGTTGACTTTGGGATAGAAATCATCAAGATTGACTGATATGCGGATTTGAAACGGTCTACGAATCTGTCAATCAATCGCCTTTTCTTTTTCTCGCTCTCTCTGTCTCTCTCTCTGACTGTGTCTCCAACATGCTCATAAGCAACAATCAGAAGCTCCGCGATGGTGACATTACTCAATGAATGATGTTTCCAATCCATTTCACGATCTGTTTTTCCGTCTATAACCCCCATGCAAATCACCGCTCTTGTTTTGTCCAAAAATGATCTCGTACGCTCCTCAAATGCCTAGTCATCCTGACCCTCCAAACGCCCTCCTACGAGCTATCATTCCCCAGATCCACGCCTTCGTACAGGTTGTTCCTCGATTGACTGATTCCAGCTCCCGGATCCAGCTTCTGTAGAAATTCCGGTGGAACAGATGGAATATAGCGTCTTTCTCGTTCGCGATTCACACCCCCAAAGCCCGATCCATACGATATGAGCATGTCCGTGCTAGTGGGTAAGTGGAAAGGCAGCAAGAGGGCAGGGTTGAGGAGATTACTTTCGGGAACGTCTTCTTCATTGTCGTAGGTGGGCGTACCCGGTGGCAAGGGAGAAGCGCCATTGCGAGGAGAATTGGGTTGTTGGGCTCCTCCGGGTGTGGTAGGAGTCGATGGAAGCTCTTTGCCAGCACCACTTGTTCGGAACGAAGGGTGCGGTGCTTTGGGTCTACTCTTGACTTCTTCGATATGTCGAAGTGCAGGACGCGTCAGCGATTTCTCGCCAACCTCTGCGCGATAGTGTTTCACGGCATGCAAAAGCTGCTTGATAGATAGATTGGGTAGTTGTTGGAGAGTCGTTTCCATTCCGTCACGATCTTCGCCCATAGAAGAGAAGCATTGAAGCCATTGCAGGAGCTGAACCACAGGGCCTAGATGCCGTCGGGCTGTCTCTACTGTGGGCTCGCCGGTGGCTGTCGTTTCGCCATTGGCATAGTGCTCGGGCTGTCTGTTGTTCGTTCGCGCCCAGTCTTCGAGCATGGAGATATTCATGCGGATCTGCATCGCCTTGGTCCTGGCCAGGTAGCGCTTATTGGACATTATCCGATTGAAGATTTCTGCGCCTAGCCAGTAGTATAGTTGTGACAGTACCTGAGCAATAATCACAGAATGCACATCGTATAGATCTAGCACGAAAAGCGTCGATGATAACAGCGATGTGATGTTCCGCGGCGAAATCTGGGCCTTGCGTTTCGGTGAGGGTGGCCGGAAGCGTTTCTCCATCGGCTCGGGTTTGACGGTATTCTTCTTCTTCAGGAACTTCCACTCGTTCTGAAAGGTGATGTCTTCGAAACCTGGTATCGTCTCGTGGTCCAGCATAGCGGCATCTAGCACCTTGTCCATTCTACGCTCAGCGTCCCGTATGATGAGGATGTAGATCTCGTGGACGAGCTCTGCCATTTGTGCCTGGAACTGCGTCGTGGCTTCTGTCAAGCCCGTATCTTTCTTCAGGTAGTAGAGCAATAGCGTAGCATTGGACAGCCAGAATGCTAGCATGGTCATGTCCCACTGGTTGCGGTCCACGATATCATATATCTTGTCCTGCGCAGTGGCGAGCCAGTCTGTGAGCAGCTCCGCGCTGGAGTGATAGTGTGCGTATCGCGCGCCGAGGAACACAATGTTGGCAGGTACCGGCTTCTGCGTCGCTGATCTTTGCGGTGTCATCTTGGTAATCACCACGTCCAGTATCCGCTCAATGTCGTTCTCAACAAACACAAACATCTGATCATTGAGACACCGTGTCCAGTCGAATTCATCGGTGTCTTCAAAGTCTTCGGGAGATTCTGGGGTCTCGTCCAGACCCAGATTTCCCAAGTCGACTTCCAGGTTGATGGCACTCTCCATCATCATGCGCCGCCTCTGCTCACTTTCTGCCAACTCCTCTTCAAACCGATCTTGTGAGAAGCCCGCGTTGTAGAAGTCGTCCGTCACTCCGACGGTACCAATCCTGTAACCACTGTCCTGTAAGAAGTCTGACATTTCCCCGCCAGGAGGCACAAAGTCCAGAGGCGTCCTTCCGCTCGAAGACTTGACATCGGTGGAGGCTCCATGGTCCAGCAGTATTTTGGCAATATCCTTGTGGGAGTTGGTGATGGCCCACATGAGCGCTGTCCATTGATTCTTGTCCTGGCAATCGACTGTGGCGCCGGCATCTAAGAGTGTCTGTACGACATCCTTGTGTCCAAAGCAGCTTGCATAGACAAGAGGTGGTGTCCCTTCTGCATCCACGCCGTCTATCTGAGTGAACTTCGAGGCCGGTCCCCGCACTAGTCGGTGCACTCTTGCCGAATCGCCGTTGCTTGCGGCCATGAAGAGAAAGTCCTGCAGAGCCTGCGCCTTTTCCTCCCGACTCAGCTTGTCGTCGTGCAAGATGTCATCCTCCTGGCTCTCGGCAGCATCGCTCTGCTTCCGCGCGTGGATAGCCATCATCTCGGCCACGCCCACGTCGTCGTGGCCAAAGTCTCTCTCAAAGGCGTCATCGTCGGGCTCGTTCAAGGAGAGATTGAAAGGTTTCGCAATGGTTGGTGCAGTCAGAAACTGCGATTGGCCTACGGGAATTCATCAACATATGTATGGTACACGTATTACTGCAGCGGTGTCGTGGACGCACCCTGCCATGCATCGTAGTACTCTGTCTCTTGAGGGGGACCATAGCTGTAACTCTGGCGGTCATCCAGTGATCGCGGCAGGTCAGCTGGCAATTCCATCGGCCTTTTCTTCTCCTGTTGCGCTCCGTCTTCGTCCTCCTCTACCACCACCGCCGCCGCCTCGTCGTCGTCGTGCTCGTCGCGCCCGTCATGTCGCCGCCCAACGTGTCCGGCCTCCGCATCCATGGATGAAGAGCTGTTCGCGTGCGCACCGCGCCTCCCCGCTTCATGGGTGCGTGCGTGCGTGCGTGCCTGCTTCGACAGACTGTGGGGTGAACCTCGTAAGGCTGATCACCAGAAGCTGTAGGTACCTGTACCTGACCTGAGGTACATCCAAAGACTCTTGTGGCTCCGCTGGGAAAAAGCGCCGCGATGTCCGGGTATTGGTTTGGTATTGGTGTAATGATTGTTGTGAGACACGGCGGCTTAAGATGTGCATGGCACAATTGAAGCTGCCACTGCAATTGACGTGGGCCACATCAGCTCCAATGTACCGGCTGGTCACGGGATCGTCACGTCCCGCGGATACCGGAAACGCGGTACAGACAGGGATCCGCGCGTGCTAACGGGTAGTAGCGTGGTGGTAGCGTGCGTGCTCACGTACATGTACACATCACAAACACCGACATCGATGTGCGTGCGCCCTCTGCTGACCGAGACGCCTCTCACTCGTAATCCGCCTCCAAGAGCAGAGCACTCCAGTGCAGTCCCAGTGCAAGTGCAGTAACGCAACGCACTGTCAGCTGTGCGTCTGTATGCCCCGACCGAGTCGCTCCTTCCTTCCTCTCTCTCTTACCCCCGCACCACCAGCTCGCTTCCTTCTGTTTCCGTTGCGCTACCACCTACGACTATTCGTGCTCGCGCACTCCCGACCTGACGCCCACGTAACCTCGCCGTCTAGTTCCCTACCATACCTACCACCTACCGACAAACCTACCTACTACCCACCAGCCTAAGGCAGACTCTGCATTTTGCGGCAAAGAGAAAGAGAAAGAGCAAGAGCAGTACTGGGACGACGGCCATGGAACACAGTGGATAATGACAGTCGTGAATGCTCCAGTCGCTTGCAGGCAACATGGATCTTGTGGTGGAGGACGAGGCAGATCGTGTGGGGGAGGACGAAGCAGATCGTGTGGTCGAGGACGAGGCACAAGTGGCTTCTATCAGGCGTTTCTTCGAGCGCCTCCGCGAAGACGTGCCGGGCTACGAGTTCAGCGACGAGGTCCCACCATTCCATTCCTCCTACGACAATTGGCACTTCTTCGGCCGCAAGAAGAATGCGAAAGCTACAGCAGCAGGAGCAGCAAGCCGGAAGTCCAGCCTGTCTGCTGTAACCGACTCGCGGCCGCCATCTGTCCGCACGAGATCCGATTACGATGCTGCCACGCCCGACGAGGAGCAGGAGCAGCCTATTTGGGTGGTGGGACGTTTGTCGAAGCAGATCCTGCGGCTGGAGCGCGAGTTCAAGCTATGTCAGCAGCTGTTCCAAACTGCTGAGGACCACAAGCACTTTGTCAGGCCCATCAGCCTCTTGAGACTCCCTGCGCGCCAGCCGGGAGATGTGCCGCTCTGCATTTCCATCGTGGAAGCACCAGGCAAAGACTATTTGCAAGACCTCGTCAATCTCGGCTCGGATTTCTACGGTGGGGTCCCCGGTTCGCAGCAGATACAGCATCGAGAGCAGGTCCCACTGTTGACCTTCCTGGACTTCGCCATTGGCGCCAGCGAATGTCTCGAGATTCTACATCATGGCTCGGATATTGTGCATGGCGAGATTCGAGGCGATGCCTTTCACTACAACAAAGATACTGGCACCGTGCGCATGATCAATTTCGGATCTGGTGTGAGAAGCTTCGAACATGGCCTGACTTCGGCCAACTGGACCACGTTGATGTCGCAACGAGGAGTCGAGCACCGACTACAATTCATAGCTCCAGAGCAGACGGGCCGTCTGCCCGCTGAGCCTGATGCGCGAACCGATATCTACTCACTGGGAATACTGTTCTGGACAATGCTGACTGGGCAGCCACCATTCGAGGGCAAGTCGCCTCTTGATGTAATGCAGAACGTACTAGGGCGTCGAATACCGCTAGCCTCGTCGATTCGCACGGACGTGCCCGATGTCTTGTCTAGGCTGATACAGAAGATGACAGCTCGGAACATGGACGATCGCTACAACTCCACAACAGGGGTCAAGCACGACCTGCAGAAGCTGAAGAAGATTCTCACAGATGGCGACCAAGAAGCTCTTGCTTCTTTCAAACTGGCGGAAAAGGATGTATCGTGCTTTTTTGTTCTGCCGTCAAATCTCGTGGGACGCGAAGAGCAACGTGCCAAGATTATCGAAGTGATCGAGAGAGCAGCCGCCAAAGCAGCCCGCTCCACGCTCTCCCGAAAGGCACTGTACTCTCTGAGCTCGACAGGCTCGTCTGTGATATCTAGCGATCCGCAGATCGCGAATCTTCTAGATGACATTAGTGACAGCACATCCTCTACCGATCGCGAGCGAACTGACAACCACCTGACGTCGATCCCAGAAGCAATACCATCCGAGCAACGGATGTACAGGACGTCGCTGGACTACCCCGATCGAACAGCTCGCACTGGAAGTACAGTGTCTCCGGCAGCCTCAATCAATGAAGATGGCGGACTGACAAGCCAAGGATACAAAGATACCTCATATGATAGCCATGGATCCGGCACTAGTGGTAACAGAGAGGGCTCAGAGAGTCTATTCAGGACCATGTCAAGCTACCAGCTGGGCAGCATGACCTCCGAGCCAAGCTCACTCCTGCGAACTGCACAAAAGATCAAAAGGAAAGGCAGAACAGAGATCATCAGCATTTGTGGTCAAGCAGGTTTTGGAAAGTCTGCCCTGGTTCAGAGCGTTCAGGTCCGCGCAAGGAAGTATGGCTACTTCGCCACAGCAAAATTCGATCCGGTACGAAAGGCCCCATTCGACCCTGTAGTGAGGGTCATGTCTTCACTATTCAGACAAATATTTTCCGAGAATGATGTCAGCACACCATTCCATGAGAACGTGAGGACATTTGTAAAACCATATTGGGGTATCCTCCATACCTATCTAGACTTACCTGTGTGGTTGTTAGCCCCCACGATTAATGGCAAGATGGCAGCCAGCCAAGGGCCATCAGAGATGCGCTCAGCCCATGGACAGCTCGAAAGGCCACCGGAGCGCAAGACGTGTAATGCAGCTAGTACACAGGAATGGCTTCGCTCAGGGGGCTCCAGCAAATCCTCGCGGTTTATGTCGATCTTCCTGGATGTACTTCGGCTGCTTGCCGTGCAGAAGTTCGCTTGTTTCTGCCTGGATGACATACAGTTTGCAGATCCCGAGAGCCTGGAACTGCTGCAAATCATCGTCAAGAGCCACATTCCCCTCGTGCTTATGCTCACATACCGAGAAGAAAAACCGATAACTCCTGCGGTTGCGAAACTTCTTGAAAAGGCCACCAGAGTTGACGTTGGGCCTTTCTCGGACAACCAATTGACTGAGTACGTCTCGCAGACACTTCACAGACCGGCTGAATATGTCACTCCACTGGTGGCAATCATCCACGAGAAGACACAGGGCTCGCCGTTCTTCGTTCGTGAGATGTTGGACTCTGCATATCGCAAGAAGTGCATATACTATTGCTGGAAATGTGGGCATTGGGAGTTTAGTCTTGACAGACTGTTTGCGGAGTTCTCAACGCCTGATGCAGGTAAATTCTCGACCGACGACTTTATTCTGCGACGCATGAAAGAACTTGCAATTGATGCTCAAACTGTGCTTGCATGGGCTGCTATCATAGGCAATAGCTTCAGGTATGTTATCAGGACATCCCCCATCGAGGCACGAGATCCTGCCAAGACAGTACCAATTAAATTGGACGGCGGCGTGCCCGATATTCCTGCCAACGATCGCACACTTTCGGATCGCATTTGACGAAACGTACTGACCTGTGGATTACTATAGCTTCAAGGTCGTTCGCCGCCTTATGAGCTGTGCTTGCTCCGAACTGTCTCCTCAGCCGCTGATACCTCCTCAATCCAAAGACGCCGTGGCCGGTCTACAGACTGCACTGGCATCGTTTGTTGTCATGCCGACTGACGATGAAGACCGTTTCAAGTTCAGTCATGACCGATATATTGCTGCAGCAGATTCTTTGTGCAAGGACTACGTCCGAGAGGAGATGCACTACGTTGTGGCCTCATCAATGATGAAACATAGCCCCTACGACCCAGTCAGTCAGCCGAGTGTGGTCCTATTCGAGCAAGCACGACACATCTGCAAAGGTGTTGATGCCATCAAACTTCGTGTGCCCGTAAAGACTGCATATCGTGAGCTACTATACCAGGCAGCTGAAACTGCGAGGGAGTCTGGGGCGAGAACTTCTAGTCTCTACTACTTCAAGGTTTGCCTCGACATCCTCCCGGAGAACCCATGGGCTGACAAGACTGGCGACGCAAGCTATTCCGAAACACTTAGCCTCCATATACGAGCAGCAGAAGCGTTGGGGTATGCTGGCGATCACGAGACAGCATCGAAGCTGTTGACGGCTGTGTTCGAGCATGCCCTCAACGCAACAGACAAGGCGCCTGCAGCTATCATTCTTGGTCGCATGCACGTTCAGAAAGGTGACAGCAAGATGGCGTTCGATGTACTCAAGCGAGCTCTCGCTGATCTGGGCTTGAGCATCGAAGAAAAGTCCTTGGAAGAGTGTGACGAGGAGTTCCAGAGTCTTCTACCACGTCTGAAAGAAAACCCACCAGACTTCACAGGCGTAGACCCGAAAGATATTGACAGGAGTTTGTCCACGCTCGCCGCATTGCTAACCGAGATCCAACTTGCAGCATTCTGGACCGACCACGTCCTCTACTATAACGTGACACTGGCCATCTTGAAGGTGTATCTGGAACGTGGTATGTTTAGTGCAGTGGCTCTCGGCTATGTGAACATGGCTGCCATCATCATCTGGCGCTTCAGTATGATTGACATCGCCATGGAGTTGGGCAGCCATGCCTGCCAAGTGTTAGAGTTCTTCGATCAAGAGCAGTACACCATTGGACGCGTATTGACGCTCTACGCAGCCTTCCTCGGCCATATGCAATTCGATTTTGCCGGGAACTTCAAATTTCTCAACAGGGCGTTGGATGCTGCCTCCAGCGCGGGAGATAAGATCGCGCACCTCCTCAATATTGGCACTTCAGCTGCCTACCGCCTGTGGGCATCGGAGAATCTCGCAGAGACAGAGGCTTACATCATCTCGGTGGGCGACGAATTCCCAGACTGGCAAGAAAACTTGCGTGGAGGTGTCTTCTTAGTGAGCACTCGACAAATGGTCCGTGCTCTGGCTGGCAAGACCAACTACAAATCGGCATCGGAAGTTCTGAGCGATTGCAGTCACTCAAGCAATGATTACATCAAATTCATCAAGGCGAAGGCTTCGAATCCTGAAAGACCACTCTCGATATACATGGCCCACCAGCTCCAGGCGTTGTACCGCTTTGGTTACTATCATGAGGCAGTGGTGCTCGGAGAACGACTGCTGCCGATGACGGATGGCTTGATGTGCATGCGATACCGTTACTCCGTCATGTTCTATCATGCACTCGCCATGATTGCGTGCATTCGCGAAAATCCTGTCCGGCCGGACCGGGAAGAACTGATGGCGAAAGTGATGCACTATCGAGCACTGATCGAGATTATGGCGGCGATCAACAATGCCAATTATGTGACACATCTTTCGTTATTGAATGCTGAGATTGCAGACATTCAGCAGGACTACGATCACGTCCTCACACACTACGAGAAAGCTGTCGACCACGCGTTGGTGTCGAATGTGACTCTGGACGAAGCCTTGGCACTGGAGCAGTACGCGGACTGGCTGGTGAGAAGAGGCTCTGCTCGGCCTGGGCGTGGCATCATTCTCGATGCGATATCTGCCTACCGCCGAGTCGGAGCATTTGGCAAAGCGGACCACGTCAAGGACAAGTACGAGTATCTGCTCTATGGGACCCGCAGTCTTTCCAATGTCGACACCGGCACCCAGACGGTCAACGATGCTTCGACAAGTGCGCCATACGCCTACAAACTGGAGAGAATAGCCAGTCACCAGGCGAGCCAGACTCCAGCAGATAGGACTGAGGAGTGGCTCGAGCCCACATCGGGTCAGTCTCGTCTCACGTCCAGCATTCGTGACAGCATGAACAGAGAGCCACCAGCTGCGCTGTCGTCGGCCGTGGGGTTGGACATGATCGACCTCGCGGGAATTCTAGAGTCAAGTCAGCTACTCTCATCGGAGCTGAATGTTGACAGACTGTTATCCAAGCTTACAGACATCATCGTAGACTCAGCAGGTGCAGAACTTGTTGGTCTGGTGGTGGAGAACGACCAAGGAGAGTGGTGTGTAGCATCTGTTGGTACACCTGATGATATCGAAGCTCCTGCGATGGGCATTCCACTTGCCGAGATCCAAGATCCAGTAGCGAAACAAGTCACGATGTATGTCTTGCGATTCAAGGAGGAGGTTTTCCTTCGACAGGTCTTGGACGACGAGCGCTTCTCAAATGTGCCCGACTCGTGGCTGGAACAGAATCCAGATGGAGCCAGCATGGTCTCGATCCCGATCTTACATGGTGAGAATGTACTGCTGGGAAGTCTCTACTGTCAAGCGCCACCAAACACCTTCACCGAGCGGACAGTGACATTGCTGAAGCTGCTCGTCAACCAGATTGCCATCTCCATTGCCAATGCATTGCTGTTCAAGCGAGCGGAGAGAGTACAGGCCAGCAATGCCAGCATGCTCATCGTACAAAAGCAAGCTCTTGCCCAGGCCCAGGAACAAGAGAAGAAAGCGAAGGCGGCCGAGGCGGAGGCGAAGGAAATGGTAAGACTGAAAGACGAAGCAGCAAAAGCGAAATCCATGTTCCTGGCCAACGTATCACATGAGCTCAGAACACCATTGAATGGTGTGATTGGCATGTCCGAGATGCTCAAAGCCACGCCCCTCAACCGGGAGCAGGAGGAGCATGCTGACAGTATTCGAGTGTGTGCGGACACGTTGCTTAGTGTGATCAACGACATCCTGGACTTCTCGAAGCTCGAAGCAGGCAAGATGCAGGTTTTCAGCGTGCCGTTGAGCTTGACAGAAACCATCACGGAGGTTGTGAGAGCGCTGTCGTACACGAACATTGAGCGAAACCTGGTCACCAAGACTGAACTGCATCTTGACAAGGAACTGGTCGTCATGGGTGATCCCGTCAGACTGCATCAGATTCTGATGAATTTGATGTCGAATGCGTACAAGTTCACTGCGCGAGGTACCGTCACAGTGCATGCAAAGGTCGATCGCGAGGACGCAGAGTCCATCACAGTCACAACTTCAGTACAGGACACTGGCATTGGCATCACAGAGGAGCAACAGAAGAAGCTCTTCTTGCCATTCTCGCAAGCGGATTCCAGCACCGCACGAAGCTACGGCGGCACAGGACTCGGCCTATCCATTTGCAAAGCCATTCTCGAAAACGTCATGAAAGGGCAAATCTGGCTGGAAAGCACGCCCAATGTCGGTACCAAGGTCTCCTTCCGGCTCTCGTTCAAGAAAGTGAATGCTTCTGACTTGCACGAGCAAAGTGGCACTGCGCCTCACGGACGCGAAGCGGATCCCATGGCCATCTTCACCCCACCAGCAGCAGATGACGGACCGGGCGCACGGGCTGTGGTCAGTTTGCAAGGCATTCCGCGCGATCAACTCAAGGTCTGTATCGCCGAAGACAACCCTATCAACCAGAAAATCGCCATCAATTTCGTGAAGAAGCTGGGCTTTAGCTGCGAAGCGTATGGCGACGGACAACAAGCCGTCGACGCCTTGACTCGAGCTTCCGAAGATAATCGTCCCTTCCATCTAGTGCTTATGGACGTGCAGATGCCCGTCCTGGATGGCTACAACGCCACGCGAGAGATCCGAAAACATCCTGATCCACGTGTCCGCGATATTCTTGTGATTGCCATGACGGCTTCTGCGATTCGTGGAGATCGAGAGAAATGTCTTGAAGCCGGCATGAACAATTATCTGGCGAAACCGGTCCGCGCGGATACGTTGAAGCAAATGTTGGAGAGTTACTTACATCAGCCGAGGAAGGACATGCCGAACCTGCAGGATGAGGCAAACAGGCTTGTCGAGAATGTTGAGAATGAGGAGGCTAGGCAACAGCATCATCTCCAACAGCAGCAGCAGCAACAGCAGAATGCCAGTCGGAACGGAAAGGAGAACGCGAAGAGTAATAACGCTACTGCTGGTACTGGAGGAATTGGTTCGAGATTGCCGGAACTGACTAAGAGTGGTGATCTCCGTCGTCAAGCTCCGCAGAGGCCACGCAGTGCGCAAAGAGCTACGGCTATACATCTTTCGCCCGAGGAGATGATACCCAAGCCGAAGGCTTCTTCGTCGTCGTCTTCTTCTGGTTCTTCTTCGTCTTCGACATCCTCGACACGGGCCGGTCAAGATCCGTCCATGAAGGAGCAGTTGAAGCTGGTTGATCGGCAGATCAAAGAGTTGAGGGATCGGCCGAGTAGAGCTGGTAGTGTCAGTCCTGCGCCCCCGTTGAAGGACAGAAGTGGCTCTGGTGGAGAGAACGCTAAGCGAGGGAGTACGGACGGGAGGAAGGATGGTGTTGAGGGTGGAGGAGAGGATGGAGGACAGTGAGAAGCGGAAAGGAGCATCGAGACAGGTTTTCAACGATTTTGTGCTTGAGGGACTGTTTTCTCTCGCCTTTTCTGGGACCACAAGACGACGAGCAACACACAGAGGAGCGCAGGATGGGCCACAGAACTGGCAGATGGTGCATATAAATATATCGAAAGCATGGATCAGGTTGTGCATAATGTAAAGCGTGCGGTGGGGGGTGCCCTGCCCTTACATAATGTACATTGTTTGCTTGCTCACGACATTGATGAGCTGTTAATCAAAGTTCGTCAATGCCAATGCATGTAAATGGAGTGGGGTCCTCAATGCCGTCATCACGACAGATTTCCCTCTCTGCCTCCATGTTCAGGTGAAGTTCTCCCGAAAGACCTCAACCAGGGCTGTTAGAACAGAGACGGGAGAAAAGGACAAGACCACACCAGACAATGAAACAACGCTTCTCGTCCCTCGACGTCAAAGTCATCGCCCACGAACTCAACGCCTCCCTCACCTCCCTCCGCCTCTCCAACGTCTACGACCTCAGCTCCCGCATCTTCCTCCTCAAATTCCAAAAACCCGACCAGATCCGCCACCAACTCATCGTCGACTCCGGTTTCCGCTGTCATCTCACCCAATTCGTGCGAGCCACTGCCGCCCAACCTTCCCCCTTTGTCGCTCGCCTGCGCAAGTTCTTGCGAACGAGACGATGTGTGAGTGTGCGACAGATTGGGACAGATCGCGTGATTGAGCTGTGTTTTTCACATGCGGAAGGCGTGTATAGACTGTTTTTGGAGTTTTATGCAGGCGGGAATGTCATTTTGACTGATCATGAATATCATATTTTGGGACTGTTGAGGAGTGTGAATGAGGGGGAGGAGCATGAGCAGTATCGCGTGGGGTTGAAGTATGACTTGGAAAAGAGGCAGAATTATGCTGGGGAGGGGGTGCCCGATTTGACTAAAGTTTGGTTGAAAGAGGCGTTGCAGAGGACGGCGACGAAGTTGGTGGAGCAGGCGAATCGGGAGGCCAGTAAGAAGAAAGTCGTGAAGAAGAAGAAGGGGGACTCGTTGAGGAAGGCCTTGGCTGTTACGACCACGCAGTTTCCGCCGGTGTTGCTGGATCATGCGATTTTTGTGGCAAAGGTGGATCGGGAGTTGGAGGCGCAGCAGGTGGTGGATAGTGAGGAGTTGTTGGATCAAGTGCTGAGTGCTTTGAGAATAGCGGAGGGAGTGATGGAGGATATCACGAGCCAGCCGATCGCGAAGGGTTATATTCTGGCTCAGCGGAAGAAGGGAATGGCGACACCAGAGAAGGCGGAGGAAGAGGGTGAGGAGGAGGGTCGCGATGCGGACAGTACGAGTGGGCTCATGTACGACGACTTCCACCCCTTCAAGCCTGCGCAACTGGCTGAAGATCCGGCGAATGTGTTTCTCGAGCACGAGGGCTTCAATATCGCAGTGGACGAGTTCTTTTCGTCTATCGAAGGCCAGAAGCTGGAATCGAAATTGGCCGAGAAGCAAGAGAGTGCAAGAAAGAGGATCGAGCATGCGAAAAAAGAGCAGGAACAGCGCATCAATGGGTTGCAGCAGGTGCAGGAATTGCATGTACGTAAAGCACAAGCCATCGAAGCCAACGTGGAGCGCGTCGAAGAAGCTACTGCTGCTGTCAACGGGTTGATTGCACAAGGCATGGATTGGGAAGATATTGGTCGTCTGATCGAACAAGAGCAGAAGCGACATAACCCCGTGGCGGAGCTGATCAAGCTCCCGCTGAAGCTTCATGAAAATACCATGACATTGTTGCTCTCCGAGCTCGGTGCCGATGATGAGGACGAAGAAGCCAATGAGACTGATAGCGAGCCTTCGGATAGCGAAGACGAGGGCACGAACGCAGCTCAAGTCAAGCACGACGCGAAGCGGCTGACCATTGACATCGACTTGGCGGGATCTGCTTGGGTCAACGCGCGACAGTACTACGACCAGAAACGTACTGCGGCTGTCAAGCAAGAAAAGACGGTACTGGCTTCGAAGAAAGCCATCAAATCGACTGAGCAGAAGGTCATGGCTACTTTAAAGAAGGACCTCAAACAGGAGAAGGACGTGCTCAGGCCGGTACGGAAACAGTTCTGGTTCGAAAAATTCATCTATTTCGTCTCATCGGACGGTTACCTTGTTCTCGCTGGCAAAGATGCGCAGCAGAATGAGATTCTATACCGCCGCTATCTGAAAAAGGGTGATGTGTATATCCACGCCGACCTTGACGGTGCTGCGAGTGTGATTATCAAGAACAAGCTCAATCCAGAAGATCCCATACCTCCGTCTACACTGGCACAAGGAGGAGATCTGGCTGTTTGTACATCGAGCGCGTGGGACAGCAAGGCCGTCATGTCTGCTTGGTGGGTGAACGCTGATCAAGTCTCGAAGACTGCACCAACTGGGGAGTATCTCGCCGCAGGAGGGTTTATAGTTCGCGGCAAGAAGAACTTTCTCCCTCCTGCGAAACTCCTCCTAGGCTTCGGAGTCATGTTTCAGATCAGCGAGGAGAGCAAAGCACAACATGTCAAGCACCGTTTGGAACTCCCTCGGCAGAATAGCTACATGGCCACGCCGGATTTGACGGAAGCAGAAACGGCGGTGGACTCGTCTGTTGCAGGAGGATCTGACGATGATGATGATGACTTTCCAGATGCCGCTGCTCCTGCACCCAAGATCGAAGATGACGATGATGATGACTTTCCCGACGTGGCGAATGAGGCGGGCGATGTCTCCAGTGATGAGTCGCCGATTCAGCAACGAAGAAGGACATATGGTGAGCAGGAGAACGATGATGATGATGATGATCAGGACGATTCGCTGCGACCTGCGCCCAGAAATCCGTTGCAGTCAATGGGACCTGGTCCTTCTGCTACTAAACTCGAGCAAGATGATACACATGATGAGGAGGAGGGAGATGCAGAGTCGGAACACGGTGAAGCTGCTCAAACCAATACGACACCCGAAGATGAACACGACACTCCGGATCAGGACGAGCAACCAGCACAACCCCAGCTTTCCAATAAAGAGCGCAAGGAATTGGCGAGGATCCAAAAAGGCAAACCAGCTCAGCCTGCGCTTCCGAGCCAAAAACCTGCACGTGGACAGCGAGGCAAAAAGAAGAAGATTGCAACCAAGTATGCGAATCAAGACGAAGAGGATCGTGCGTTAGCCATGCAACTTCTCGGGAGCAAAGCGGCGGATGAACGACGCGAGGCTGAGGCAGCCATCAAGGTGGAAAAGAAAGAAACCGAAGAAGAAGCCCGCGCTCGACGGAAGGCCCAGCACGAACGTGCGCAGCAAAAGGGCCTCGAAGCCGAAGAGTTGCGCAAATTGAACCTCGAGGACGACGATGGAAACGATTCTTCCCATGCGGGAACTTCTACAGCTGAGATCAACACCATCCTCGACTCTCTCATCGGTCAACCAATACCTGGTGATGTCCTCCTCGAAGCCATACCCACTGTAGCGCCCTGGGCAGCTCTAGCGCGATACAAGTATAAAGTGAAGCTGCAACCGGGACAGCAGAAGAAAGGAAAAGCCACGAGGGAGATTCTGAGCAAGTGGATGAGAGATGCGTATGATGAGCGAAAACTCGATCGTAGTGAGAAGGATACGGAGAGGATTTGGCCGAGAGAGGCGGAACTGATCAAGGCGTGGAGGGAGGTGGAGGTGATTGGTGTGATTCCTGTCAAGAGCGTGAGGGTAGTCATGTCTGGTGGTGGTGCTGGAGAGGGCAAGGGAAAAGGTGGTGGCGCTCGAGGTGGAAAGGGTGGACGAGGAGGGAAAGGTAGTAAGAGGAGGTAGATGGACGACGACATCTCAGGTAGGTAGGTAGGTAGGAAAAGAGAGGCAGATCTTCCCATCCATTCTTTTCTCCTAGCGACCTGTCCTACCTATCCTATTCTACCTCATCCTACAAAGCCTAGTCCGACAGAAAAATAAAAACCAAAAACCAAAAACCAAAAAAAGAAACGGGCAACAGCAAACTACCCAACATCTTTTCTTACTTTCCTTTTCCCATCTTCTCCTCCTTTCTTCACGATCTCCAAATATCTTTGGTCGATCGCCACCACCATCCCCATCGTCATTGGAAATTTGAATTTCAATGATGTTTCGCTGAGAGCATGCATGCATAAGCTACCCTCACACCTCACATCTTGTGTACCTTACACTTTCCACGTACTTACTCATACCGTAGGTAAAGATACCTTATGTACCTTTACCTTCCTACAAAGTACTCTTTTCGTCGTCGTCGTCATTGCCAACACACAACACACATACAACATACGGGATAGGACAGGCAAGCAGGTGGGCACACTGCTGGGCTGGGCTGGTAGGTAGGAAAAGTAGATAGGTAAGGTAGGTGGGTACCTACATACCTAGAGGTAGGCTGGGCTGGTAGAAAGGAAAGTATGTATGTATGTATGTAAATAATGCAAGGCAGGCAGAGGAAAAGGAAAAGCAGGACATTGAATGCCAAGTATACCTGGGTACGGTAAGATAGGTGGGTAGGTAGGTAGGTAGGTAGGTGGAGAGAGGCCAGATATAGTCAGAGCGAGTGAGTGAGTGAGTGAGGGTATGGGAAGGTGTTGTTGGGAAGGTATGGATAAGGTGAGAAACTGAATGTAAGGTGAGGTAAGGTGAGGTGAGCGTGTTGGTGAAGGTACATGTAGGTGGAGGGTATGGTATATAATTTTATTGATCGACTGATGATTTTTTTTAGACCTACATTGCATATACATTTCAAAACTGTGAGGTATATGTACCATGCAACGGATACCGTTATGCGTAAAAAAGGTAAAAGGTACCTGCTTGTTGATGTTGTTTGTTGTTTGTTGTTTTGTTGTTTTTGTTGTCGTGATCGTTTGATCTTTCTCCACTCTCTCCTCTTCCTCCCCCTCCCTCCTGGGAAGTAGGTAGGTAGAGTAGAGTAAGGTAGATAGTACATACGTTACTGTAGGTAGCTTACCACATACAGTACTCTCCGTAGGGCGTAGACAGACTAATAGAAACGAGAGGTACCTTACAAAGCAAAAGAGGAGGAGTAAGATAAATCCGACCCGGCCGAGAGACGAGACGTCCCACGACCGGACATACGGACCAAACGAAAGTCCGAAACCAGGTCTAGCCTAGGAGGTACCTCCTACACAGCCTCTCTCAACAAGACGCACGAAAAAGAAAAAAAGTTTAAAGGAGAAACTGTAATCCCGATATGGAAAAACTTGTGGTCCGGTTAGAGTCTTAGGGAGGGGAGGGGTTGGCGGAAAGCTAAAACAGGAGACGAGGGAAAAGAGAGAGAGAGAGAGAGACCGAGAGAGGGGAATCCTTGTCACGTCGACGGGTTGGTGGTGAGGTTGTTGTTGTTGTTGCTGTTGTTTTTCTTCATTGGTCATTGGTCATTGGTGAATGAAGAAGGAGGAGGAGGAGGATAAGGAGGATAAGGAGGAAGAGGAAGAGGGGATGGGGGAATGGGAGGAGGGGGAAAAGTAGTTCCAGCAGGATTGGTTTAGGGTCACTGTAGGGGTATATCGTATATTGTCGTGTGCGTGTGCGTGTGCGTGACTGCGTGTATGGCATGTGTGTGTCACCATGTGCAGTCCATGTGTACATACATACATACGTGCGTGTAACGTGTAACGTGTAGCATGTGCATGTACGTGCGTAGGTATGCGTGAGCAAGTGCGCATGTTGCATTGTGTAGGTAGCGGGCCAAAAAAAAAAGATCCTTGTAGAAACCAGAAAAGAAAAACAAACCCCAAGAAAAAAATACCTAATGCAAAAAACGAAAAAATAAAAGATTAAAAAAAAATATATGAAATTCTCTACAAAGTGGGTTGTATACATTCGTGTTAGCTTGCCTGGTGGAAGCCAAGCTGGACCCACTTGTGCGAGAGGGCTGTTTTACACTTTTTTCTTCTTCGGAAGGGGGGCCAGGGGGGTCAGGGGGTAGGGGGGAGAAGGGAGAAGG